CGTTCGGGATTTGCGTGGCTCACAAACCGGCACTAACTATCAGACAACGGGTGATGAGGCCTAAAGGTTCCTTACCAGTGACCGAAAAATCAGTGGTGGTCTACAACCTGCCTTGCCAAGATTGTGATGCGACGCAGCGCCGATAACAGTGGAGAGGATGGCGCCAATCATTAGTCAACGGACCTACGAACGCACGGGCATCACACATGGGTACAGCAGCCGGCTCGCGGCAAGGCGCATTTATTAAAGGCCGGCGGAAGAGTAAGCAGTACGCTCTGATGATGAAAACGAGCATGTTTTCGAAACGTCAGCAAGAATACAATTAGGTCCCAGCACTTGACCCCTCTTCTACTTCCTCTTCCGGGGATGATGAGCACGATAGCAAAATACATTTACATCTAGAGGTGTATATAAAATACGCATCTCCTGGGCAGGCTGCCTTATATCTGGAGCTTAATTTCTCTACATTTGATATCTAAATGTGATCAGCAAATTGCCTAACCGTTCTATATTGGATAATATACGTCAGCAGCACTCGGGGGATAAGTTTAAAAATCAATAGGTCTTTTTATTCTAGACTGAAAAAAAAAATAAGCACATAGCAATATACATTTAGTGGGCGAATGCGGCCATCTATAAATTTCCAGATTACCGTTCGGGTGTGCGGTAGTACAGTAATATACGGACATAATATAAAAGTTTACGAAATTAAATGACGACAGTTTTATTGTGAAAACAAAATGAAATATTTTAGAGTAACAACAAGGCACCAAAAAAAGGATACCATATAGGGCAGGACTGAGTGAGGGTGGCAATGGGAAAACACACTGGAATCAAATCGATATTAAGTAGCTATACATCGAAGTATAAAATCCAAAGTGTTTGCATAGCTTTAGAAGCATGGAGACCAAATAGGGACCCAATCCCATTATAAAATGTGGACGACGCTATGGAAATATGCGAGACGAAAGAAAAGCGGACTAAGTATCCTGCTAGTTTCAGTCGGTCTTTACGAGAGAGGCTGAACGAACCGCTGTCAACTTCAGTGTGCGTGAGCGAGTGTCCGACTACTGACTCAGTTGCCTTCATGTAAGCTTCTCTTCTGCGATAACTTCTAGAGCTCAAAAAACGAAGTCATGTGGTCCAGGTAAAATACTTGCAATTGAAAGAACTAGCCACATAGTTGGCAGAACACCCTGTACTTACTCGTCCGAACGCCTCCTAAATGCAGCCCAAGTTTTATACCCTCGCTTTCCAACATCCCAAATCCCCCTCTCCTTACACGCAGCGGACGTCATGCCCGTTTCCCCGACCGTTACCAACTTGTAACATCTGCTTAACACTCCCATAATATCTACATATGAACATGTTTTTTTCTGAACTCCCTTCTCCTAGGAGGGGGAGTATTGTTGTGAAACTAAACTGCCCCTTGGTTTTACTTAAAAATATGCATTTCGTAAACTTAACACAACTTAACAATCACACATTGAACAACCACGTGCTTTTATCTGAAAACTACTTTGTTCTTATTTACTAGTTCTTAACCGTTTGGATACTCCTATCTCAGATTCGTGGATAGACTGTATCCTATCCAACAATGGGACTGCGGTTAGCGCACATTGGCTTGCCTGACCTGACACCACATGAGCCCTAGTTGTGCAACAACAGCGGCAAAGGGGAGAAAATCACCCCAGCTCTCGGCAGGCTTCCTCTCAGCTCCGCTAGCCATATACATACACCACCCATATGAAAACTGCGCTAACCGGTAAGCAAGAAGACCAACTCATATCTGCAC